ATTTTTGTGATCGATTTTTTTAGTCAGTTTACTGCAAAACAGTCACACCACTCTACTAATGAATCAAAGAAAATAATTGGACTCTTTTCATGAATTTTGAGAGCCACTCCGATTCTAGCTTTTTTTTTCAAATTCTTTTGCTTCACAAGAAGTGTGTCAAGAATGTCCGTAACTTAATAAAATAATACTAATAATTAAATCTTCTTAAAACAAAACTGATGAGAATATCTTCATTTTTTAAGTTTTGTTTGAGAAGGTTTGATTGCTAATTTCATGAATATGCATTCATTTCAGAATGATAGCTTCCTCTCCGTCGAACTCTGTAATCAAAATTCGATCATCTGATAATGTGGTAATACCCCAAGGCTGTTGTAGTTTCAGATCAGTACTTGTCTTTCCAATGAAAGTTCCTTCCAATGTAAACTGTTGAATGCGATTATTCAACCTGTCACATAAGAAAACGTTGCCACACTTGTCAACACTTAACCCACACGGCCAATCCAATCGTCCATCACCGTTTCCGTATTCTCCAAACTTGTACAAAAACTGTCCTTTTCTATCAAACACCTTCACACAGTTATTATTCGTGTCAGTTACAATAAACTTGTCTTCGTAACAAATGCAGCCCAACGGATGATCCAGCCTCTCTGAGCCGCTGTTTCCAAACTTCAACACAGGTTTACCATCCATTGTAAACACTTGAATTCTGCTGTTAATAAACTCCGCAACAGCGATAAAACCTCCATCGCTTGTAATACAAACACTTGAAGGATTCTTCAAGTCTCCGTCTGCACTTCCCTCTTTTCCAAAGCTTTTCACAAAGTTCCCTGTTCGTATATTCAACTGCTGTATTCGGTGATTACCTGAATCTACCACCAGAATCTCGTCATCGTTTATGAATGTGATGTCGACTGGTTGATTAAATTGCCCATCCTCGTCTCCATAACATCCTAGTTTTCGTCTAAAATTTCCTGCCTCATCAAGTACCAGGATACAGTGACCTTTACACCCAGCCACACTCATAACACCTTTACTGTTTACTGCAATCCCGGCTGGATGCTGGGACACTATTTCCTGAAAGTCTAACTTGCCAACAAATTGTAACTGTCGTGCTTTAACTGGAATCAAAAATGGACTCTTGGCAAGTTTCTGTCCATTTATCTTAACATCCATTTCATAAGTACCAGGTACTTTCGCTACAAATTTTACTCCAAACTCACCGTCTTCTTTTTCACTTGTCAGCAAATTGCTCATCCGATCCGCAGGTTCTATGTGTACTTCAACACGATCTGTGTGCTGACTGTCTTTGGTTTCTCCTTCGCTTGATTTGGGACAAATCAATAGTTCTGCATCTACACCAGCTTGAAAATTCTGATCCAGTCCTTCCACGGTCGATGCTGGCACATGTGTTTCGCAGAATTTCGTAAATCCAAGACTCAAACTCTCTGGTTCACATGTCGACACAAACTCCACGAATGAGCTAACCGGAAGTGCTGGCACTGTAGTCTTGATGAGGTCTTCGATTCGTTCTTCCACATTCTTCTTGTTTTGCATTATGTCTGAGCTCGAGCTTCTCTCAACCAGGTTGTTACTGAACTCAAATACTTGGTCAAGTTGCTTTTCCAAAGAGACAAGCGATTCTTTTCCAGAATGTAATTTCTCAATCCTCGACGCGCGAGACTTCTCGAAGGCAGTTATGGTTTCATTTTCCAATTGGCGTAGCTTTCTTATCATCTGTTCGACTACTTGGGAAACTTGGAATTCAGCGGTGGTAATGTTCGCTTCCAACTCAAGTTCCGTCTTCTCAAATTCACGAATAACATCTCGGCAGACCTCTTTCTTCTGCTTAACTAGCTCGGCTCGGATAATGATGTTTGCTTTCTCATCATCCGCTGCC